TAATGATTTTCTTGAATGTTTGGCAGGTTCCTAAAATCGTTGATAAGCAAGGGGCACAATTGCTTTCAGTTGCAGTACTTGTACTATCTCGGACTTGGATATCTGATCGTATAGCTTCACTGAATGGTTGGCTCCTCGTGTGTTTTCCTTTACTACAAGAACTGGAGCTGGCTGGTGTACAATTTTTGTAACAAGTTGCACGTCTTGACAGGGACTAGTGTTAAGTATGTCCTGGAGCAGGACAAGGCAGCCTTCATTCGATTGATCGGGACCAGTGTAATGCAAAGTGCTGCAAATTCAATTGTGGCACCATCACTGAGGTTAATTTGGACTTTTGGTTCCACTGTTTTGAAATGCTTGACTGCTTGTCACGACGTTCTCTCTTAGCAAAGCACCCCGCACATTTTTTTAAATATTTACTATCTATTCAAATGTTTCATCTGAAACATTACTTTATGCTACCTCATGTGGTCTTCACCACAAGAATGAAAGTACTACTCATGCTTGCGTGTATTTAACTATTTTTAGAGTGGCAGTTCATTTTTCATAATTGATTACATGACCTGATTGAGTATTTCTTTACAGACACCTTACTTCAAAGATTGCTCTTGGATGGCGAATTCGCATGACCAACCATCTACTTGCATATTATTTGAAAAGAAATGCTTTTTACAAGGTAAATTACCTTAACAAAATGTGTAATTTGCAAGTCATTTGTTCCATTTTGCAGCAGTGTTTTCCCCTTATAACTGTTGCTAGCATTGTTCTGTCATGACAATATTTCTGTTTGAATAAAAGCTGAGCAGTTTGACCTTTCTTTTCCAGGTATTTAACATGACAGGCATGGAGATTGATGCAGACCAAAGAATAACACGTGATGTGGAGAAGTTGACGAATGATCTTGCTGGCTTAGTTACTGGAATGGTGAAACCATCAGTTGACATTCTTTGGTGAGTTCTTTGTGGCCTCATGTGTTGCTCCGGTGTTCTTTGGTTAATCAGGCTTTCATAGTTAAGCTACTGCTATTCTCCAGGTTTACATGGAGAATGAAGCTTTTATCTGGGAGAAGAGGAGTTGCTATTTTGTACGCATACATGTTGCTAGGGCTTGGTTTTCTAAGAGCCGTTTCCCCTGATTTCGGTGATCTTTCAAACCAAGAACAAGAACTTGAAAGTTCTTTCAGGTTAGTGATATAATTTGTTGGGTATTTGTGTATTTGGCTTTCTTATAGCATGATGAACTTCCAGTATTGACCTTCTAATATTTGTTGTTCAAGGTTCATGCACTCAAGACTGCGGACACATGCTGAGTCAATTGCTTTCTTTGGTGGTGGATCAAGGGAAAGAGCTGTGAGTTATTCCTACCACATGAACGCTCCTTCAGATTTATGAATTTTATGTATTGTGATTCTTATGTTAAATTTCCTATTTATTGTGCTAAATAATTATTCTGAATTTCAATTGAAATGCTAAATACTGAATGACTCATGTAATCACAAGCATAACTTATGTTGAAAAAGAAAGGATAAAAATGCATTACATGTAGCTTCATCTGCACTTCTGGCACAGGATTTGTTAGTAAAAGTATATGGCCTCACATTGTCATTATTTTCTTATAAATCAGATGGTTGAAGCTAAGTTCGCAACTTTGCTCAACCACTCGAAGATTCTTTTGAGGAAAAGATGGCTTTATGGTATATTTGATGATTTCGTGACGAAGCAGCTGCCTCATAATGTGACATGGGGATTGAGTCTGTTATATGCTTTGGAACACAAGGGGGACCGAGCTTTGACTTCAACACAAGGTTGGTAAATCTTGAAACCGACCCATTTTATCGATATTATTTTGCATACAGTTTTACAATATGTTCTCATTTTGAAATTGCAGGAGAGTTAGCACATGCCCTGCGGTTCTTGGCATCTGTAGTGTCACAAAGTTTCATAGCTTTTGGTGACATTCTCGAGTTGCATAAGAAATTCCTTGAACTTTCTGGTGGTGTCAATAGGATCTTTGAACTCGAGGAGCTTCTAAAGGCATCTCAAAGCAGTAAGTTTCAATTCACTGCAAACTCTAGTGCCTCATATGCTTGAGTCAGAAACCTATGTCATTTGAATATAAAATGATATTGCATATCAGCAGCATAACTCCTATTTTGGTCAACCATTGTGCAACCTGCCACAAGCTCTTGAACTGAAATTATGAACACTAACCGCCCATATGATAAAATTTTATGTGAGCATGTTCAGTCTAGTATCATAAGAGTCAACCTTCTTATTTTGCAACTTTGTCCAACTATGTAATGTCATCAGTGTAATTTTTGATACAAAAAATTCTTGAGTGGAGGAAAAATTGAAAATCACTGTGTACTGGAATTTCTCTAGACAATGCAAAAAACTGTCAGTTTTAGTTGGCAAATCTGGGCATCTGGCTACTCAATATTCTTTAGTGCAACATCTGCTGTTCTGTAAAACTATTAACTGTCCATAACTGGTTAAGAGGTACCACCATTACTGATTGTAGAAACCTTGGTAGTAATCATATGATATTGTTGACCACCTTGACCACAGCTGGAAATTAGTTCATCAAATTTGTAAGATGCTGAATTGTTTTGTTCATAATCAGTTGATGATGTTATCGAAGTTAAAAGGTTTTAGCCTTTTGGCATCTTGATGCTATGAATTGTACCTGGATATGACACTGTTGTTTTTCTAGATGCTGTCATGCCCTCAAATGTTATCAGTGTGCCATCTGAAGAAACTATTTCCTTCCGTAATGTGGATATTGTGACCCCATCGCAAAAGCTACTGGCTAGCCAATTGTCTTGTGATGTGTCTCAAGGAAAAAGCCTTCTTGTCACTGGTATGTGATCTGACCGCTTCTGCTTGGCTTTATTTAGCACCATGCCAACATTGTTTCTCTAATATATGTGATTATTTCTTCTGAAGGTCCAAACGGCAGTGGCAAGAGTTCCATTTTTAGGGTGCTCCAAAGTTTGTGGCCTGTAGCTTCCGGAAGGCTCACCGTGCCATCTGAAGGGATATTTCACGTTCCTCAGCGCCCATATACTTGCCTTGGAACCTTGAGAGATCAGATCATATATCCTCTCTCACGTGAGGAGGCAGAGTTGAAGATGCTTACATTGTCCAAAACAAGTAAGTGTTACCTAACTCTGCAAAGGCAAACATCTAGCTGTCGACTTCAGCCTCTGTATTCAACGTGCGAAACACACATTTATAAGAACCTTGTGTACTAAAATTCGAAGGAATGCACCAATATAACGCGTTTCTTAGATGAAGCTTTAATTCAAAGTGGTCTGTGCTAGTTGATGGTATTTTAAAAGAAGTTCTAATATGTTGACCTTACCCTGTATTGTTATGAGCAAAGGTTTATATTGATTTGTAGTGACATGACACCATAAACCTTGGCGATGTAGGTGACAGGTCTAGATCGCTGGACGATCACCTGAGGACAATTCTAGAGAATGTTCGCTTGGTCTATCTTCTCGAAAGAGAAGGTTGGGATGCTACTCCCAATTGGGAAGACATTTTGTCCTTGGGAGAACAGCAGAGGCTAGGCATGGTCAGTGGTTATATGCTCACAGTTTGTTTCAAGCTATCTCTGTACCTTTATGCGAACCAAACGGCGTATTAACTTGAAATGACTGTTTTCTTTCCAGGCCCGCCTGTTCTTTCACTCTCCTAAGTTTGGCATCCTTGACGAGTGCACCAAGTACGTGTTGTATCACGCTATATTTTGTACTCCCATTTCGTTTGTCAATCTCTACTAAAAAATCTTGTATGCTCACCGCAGTGCTACGAGTGTCGATGTCGAGGAGCATTTGTACAGGCTAGCAACTGACATGGGTATAACTGTGGTCACTTCCTCCCAAGTAAGTACTTTATTCATCAATTTATCCTCCCGAGCCTCTGCAAGTTAACACAAGCACCGCTGGGTATCGGATCTGATTTCCTTGTCCCACGGGATTTCGTTTCGAGCTCCCTTGTTTTGGCCCCTCGTGGTCGCGTCTTTCTAAATGTGAAACTCTGTGTGTGTGTGTGTGTGATGCTGAAGCCTTCTCTCATCTTTTTCACAGAGGCCTGCTCTCATACCCTTCCATTCGTTGGAACTGAAACTCATCGACGGCGAAGGGAAGTGGGAGCTGTGTTCAATCAACCACTAGTCACTGCCTGTCGCCCTAATTTTTGACCGGCTTTAGCTACTCTCAGCTGTATACTGACTTACAGTACAAATAGTCATTAGCTGCTGCTTCAACAAACAGAGGCTGCCTGTAGAAGCCAGGGAGGCATGCAGCACCCAATTGGAGATAGATCAGAACAATATACATACATGGGTTGTAGGAGGGAAATGTTTTTTTTCTTCTTTCCAAGGAGGATAGTATGGTATATAATCTTGTTCTCATACAGAATACACAGCGAGATGACATTTGCCGCCGAAATCAGATGGTGGTGGGTGTAACGATTATTTGTATAAACACGGGCGCGAAGCGTGCCCCCTTGTAAATGGCAACTAGTTCAAATCCATCTTCCTGATGATGCCTTTGTCTTGCACTGTGCTTTTAGTTCTGCGTCGACCGAGTCGCCTTCTGATTAGGGATCTCTTCTGTTTGGGGTGTTGCCACATCGATTTTGTGATGAGTTCATACCTAAAGCAAATTCGGAATGGTTTCACAATTCATCGTTTAGTACTGTCAAATTGTTGCAACCTGTGCATCTTTCTCCTTTGGCAGCGAAAAGCTTCATTGCCGGAAAGGCAGATAGTATAGTTGAGTATGAATATGGACTTGGTTTCCACGTCTGGACTCGACTTGTATCTTCTGTTTGCAATGGGAGAAAAATTCGGGATCGTCGCGGGAGCTGAACTGTTTCTTGACAAATTTTGGCAAAATTTCGAATGTCAAAAACTCATGCACACCCATGATAATAAGCTCATATATTACACTCAGAAAATAAGAAGCATTTTTGGCTAAGCTGAAGAAGATACTACGAGGGAGAGACTTGCTGGGAGAGGAGGACGAGGAGGCCCTGGGGCCCGACGAGGATCTCGCTGAGGAAGCTGACGAGGCCGAACCAGACGACCGGCGTGACGTCGACGCCGCCCAGCGGCGGGATGACCCGGCGGGTGGCGGCGAGGATGGGCTCCGTGGGCGCGTAGGCCACCACGTAGGGGAACTTGGTGACCGGCAGCCTCGGGTACCACGACATGACGATCCGCGCCACGAACAGGAACCCCACCGCCGACAGCGCCGGCCCCGCCACCCCGATCACCACCTTCGCCGTCGCCGGGTCCAGCTCCCCCAGCACCACCGCCGCCCTGTACAGCGATTGCTCGTACGCCGCCGGAGAGGTCGCGGCCTGGCACGGCAGGGCGGCGGCGCTGCTGCTCACCGCCGCTGCCGCCAGGGGTAGGACATGGCCGTGGGCTCCTCTGGCCGGCTCGCTCCCTTCCGGCCGCCGTGTCTCGAGGTTCTGATTGATTGGAAAGAAATGAAAAAGAAGCAGCGTGTGAGAGACGATGGATGGAGCTCGCTCTCCATGAACAGTAAGCAACCAAGAACCAGCCGTCCGACCTTGCTGCCGCGGCCGCCGGCGCCGGCGACGACGCAGCCCCGCCCCCGCGCCGGAGATAGCAACACCGACGGCTTGAGCATGGAGGCCTCCATGAGAGGCAGAGAAAAACAGAGGAGAGGAGGGAAGCAGCAACAGCGGCTCGTGGCCGTGGCCTTTTCCTGCTCTCCGAGGATAAGGCAGAAAAAAAAAAGGAAAAACTAGACGAAGAGGAAGGGCCGGGAACTCTTCTTGGGCTCATTCTACCGGGTCTCCAGTGGACGACGGCCCGGTCCGAGCCCAGCGTGGCACCAAAAAAACCCTACCTAAGGCCCAGCAGACCGAGCCGAACTATTCCTTCCCCCTTCCCCTCCTCCACGGCAGCTTCTCCTCCTCCTCGCCGGCGGCTCCCTCCACCAGCCCCGGCCCCGCCGCCGCGATGCTCCGGCTCCGCTCCTCCGCCCGCCTGCTCCGCAAGGTGAGTCCGCCGCTCGCCCGCTTGTATTTAGTCGCCCTGCTGCCTGCCTCACGGTTTCTGGGATGGATTGCGTCAATTGCAGCTGTGCGAAGCGTCCCGGCCGCTGGTGCGCGGCGAGGTCCAAAGAGTGCCGCCGCCGCTGCCGACGATGACGCGGCGGCTCTCCGGCGCAGCCTCCGCCGCGCGCTCGACCTCGCTCCTGCACCCGCTGCCGGGGCTCGACCTCCCGCCCTGCCTCCCCGACCAGCTCGCCCGCCTCCCCACCCGCATCACCACGCTCCCCAACGGCGTCCGCGTCGCCTCCGAGGACGTCCCGGTACCACCCACCTCCCCCATCTCCCCCTCCTGATGAGCCCATATGGTGCTCCGCTGACGCCTCCGTGCGGTGGTTTGTCAGGGTCCCACGGCGTGCGTGGGGGTGTTCGTGGCGTCCGGCTCGATCCACGAGTCGCCCGAGTCCACCGGCGCGACGCACCTGCTGGAGAAGCTGGCGTTCAAGGACACGGCGCACCGGAGCCACATGCAGATCGTGCAGGAGGTGGAGGCCACGGGGGGCAACGTCGGCGCCTCCGCCTCCAGGGAGCAGATGGTCTACAGCTACGACACGCTCAAGGCCTACATTCCGCAGGCCGTCGAGGTGCTCCTCGACAGCGTCCGCAACCCGCTCTTCGTCCAGGACGAAGTCGACCGGCAGGTGCGGAATGTCATCGATGCATTACAGTCTTTCTCTCTCACACACAAACTTATGGGTGGGTATCTTGTTTGTTGTGCGCTGATTATGGTGGTTGATTTGTTGCTTGTCAGCTGGCCCTTACTCGAGAGGAGGTCCATGCGGTGCAGAAGAACCCGGAGAAGTTTCTTCAGGAAGTACTTAACCTTGTTGGATACGAGGGGGCGATCGCGAACCCGCTGATAGCTCCTGAGGAGGCTCTTGGGATCATCAATGCCGATATTATTCGGAAGTTCTATCATGTACTGCTTCTGACATTTGAGTTTTGCATTCCTCCTGAACATGGCTTGCTGCTTGGCAGCTTACCTTTACATAATTTTTGGTAGGGTGACCATTTACATAGAGTGAACACATCTCAAAAGCATTACATGATATCAGCATGCTGGTCACCGTGGAGCATCCTTGCACACTTTGGTCGTTTTGCTCCCTATACTTTAAGTTTTCCGTGGATGTAGTTGCGACAGATTCTAGATATTAACAATTTATTCTGTTGGCAGCGCTAAAATATAGAAGTAGTTCTATTTAACCGCATAATATACTAGAATTGATTTGTATGTGGCTGATCCAGTGCCAGCAACTATGAGAGATGCTAAATTGTGATCAGGATTGTTCTAGTCTTACAACTTTATTTTCAATCCATGGATCATGATTGTTTGTAGGAGCAACAGTTTCAGCTATGCTGTTCTCACCATATGGTTGTTTTAATATTCTCTACAATGCAATGAATATGTTTTATTCAAAAAACATGAAGCTTTGCTATTTCTATAACAGGAAAATTTCACTGCTGATCGTGTGGTTCTAGCAGCGTCAGGTGTTGATCATCAACAATTGTTAGATGTTGCAGAACCTTTGTTGTCTGATTGGCACAAGGGGTCCCCTATGGAAACACCAAAGTCTACGTATACAGGTGGTGACTTCAGACAGAAAGCAGAATCAGATGTAATATTCTTTCTAATCAAGTATTCCATTTTGAGTTTTGAGACTTCCTTATGTTCTAGCTTGAAATTTTACTCATCTCTTTGCCTGCAGATGACACATGTTGCGTTGGCTTTTGAAGTGCCAGGCGGCTGGCTTAAAGAGAGAGATGCTACAATTATGACCGTCATACAGGTATAGCTAAGGGTTGGTATTTGATAGTAATGATCTGGTCTAGATTGACATCCGCATCTTCACATTCTAATTGTTAATTCCTGAATGTTCATGCGCAACAACAATAATATTTTGAAGACCTTAATGGGTGGTGGCGGCTCATTCTCCTCTGGTGGTCCTGGAAAAGGGATGCATTCGCGGCTTTGTAAGTCACGAACACACTGCATTTGTTCATCTCTAGTATGGTTGCCATGGTGTAAACTAACTTTATGTGGTTGTTTCAGTTACTGTTTTTTACATTTCAGAATAGTTCTGCTGGCTGAACTGTCTAGTTTATTTTTTGAAGTTTTAATTATTTCTTGTTTCAAAGGGGGTGAATGCTTTGTGGAAAAGGCTAAGTTCACTGTTGTTTCTTTGCAGACCTGAGAGTCTTAACTAAATATCACGACGTCCAATCATTTTCAGCATTCAGTAATGTATATGATAGCACTGGCCTCTTTGGTATCTATTTGACAACGGTGAGTTTATCCTTCAACGTCATTTTATGGGCTTTTGAATGCATCAGGACCTTTCGTACATCTACTGACTTTCTGCTGGTGATGTTGGCAAAACAAGCATTAGAATGAAGAAAAAACACAAATGTGAATTGATCTATGTTTTTAAGGCGACGCCTTGCTTTAAGGCGCTGGGGGGGCGCTTCGACGCCTAGGCGACGCCTAGGCGCCTAAAGCGGACGCCTAGGCGCCTAAAGCGCAAAGCGCTGGGGGGGCGCCTCGACGCCTAGGCGTCGCCTTACGGACGCCTTTAAAACATAGGAATTGATATATAAATGTTTGAACATATGATATTTCTGACAAAGTCTACTTGTTTTTTATTTCTCATAGCAAAACTATGCTACCTATACGTGTGCCATTTTATAACGTTCAACTCTAGCATGAAACATAATTATTTGAATTTTAATATTGTAATGTCACCGGCCTCTTGGATTTTCATTCTCTATTGGAGTTTTAATATGATTTCTTGTCCATTTTTAATACTCCAGCCACCAGATTTTGTTGCAAAGGCTGTTGATGTCGCTGTGCAGGAATTGATTGCTATTGCAACGCCTGGACAAGGTACGAGCCATTCCCTATTTGGTAAATCTGTCTGAGGTTTCACTGAAGCTGCATGTTCTAAAATATGATTTAATTTGCATGCATTTAGTGACGGAGGTTGAGCTGACACGTGCGAAAAACTCGACGATTTCATCTGTGCTAATGAATCTTGAGTCAAGGGTATGTTTGGAGCCACACACCATTCTTTGTTGCTTGTCAGTTATCACGTATATTTAAAAGGATTTGATATCCATCTGTTGACTTTGCACTGCAGGTAATTGTTGCAGAAGATATAGGGAGGCAGCTTTTGACTTATGGTAGCAGGTAAGTCCATATCTTCATCGGTTCGAACCATATTTCACAAGCCTGTCTCATAGAAGAAACTCATCGATCCTGTTTTTTTGTTTGTTTGCATCACAACAGGAAGCCTATCGATCATTTTCTTCAGTGCATGGAGGAACTGACCCTAGATGACATTACAGCGTTTGCTAAGATGTTGTTATCTTCCCAACCTACAATGGCTAGCTATGGAGATGGTATGCTCCTTGATTTCCCTCTAGGTTTCAAAAATGCAGCTGATAATTCAAAATTTATACACAGCTTATGAATTAATGTGAATTCCTTTCCCTTGCTTTCTAACGCAGTCGATAAAGTTCCGCCGTATGAATTTGTCAGCAAGCGGTTCCAACGGTTCCGATAGCGCCCTAACACCATGATCCCTGGTGAAGACGAACACAGAGCTCTGTTCCAGTTCTCCCTAATATTTGTCTTGTGCTCGGAAATTTTCCCTGTTTTACTCGTGTGTGGACGAGGTTAGTTTTGTAGTGGCTTAGGTCAAACAGCGCATGCTGATGAAATGTCTCGGGTGGATCTCGTTGCCATGTTCAATGTTCAGTACGTGTGGTGTGAGTTTCATGACAATGAGATATATCAATGGTGACTCTTAACGGCCTCAAATAAGAATTACTGGTTATAATTGTGAATAATCTCTGTATTTCCTAATTTTATTGCTGAGCAACGCTGTCACTGTAGTTTGCAGCCTTGCTAACTACTCCAGTTCCAGTTTATCTCTGTATATGTTAATGCTGAGCAACGCTTCGCTAATCTCTGTAGAAAGGTTCAAACAACTAAAAAAGTTGAGAACTATGTCAACAAAATTCTATAACTAGATTTTTTTTTCATCATATCAAGTTTCATAAAATTATGAGTGGTCAAGCATGGAGTCCAATTATCATCGTCTCAAGTTTCACAAAATTCAAACAAACATTTTAAAGTTAGGTTACATATTTCAGGTGCAAAAGAACTGTCGAAAGAAATTCAGATGCTGCCTACAAGGGCTCTCATCGCAGCAAAGATCCTAGAACATGAGTTTACTAACACTACTCACTGGGCATACACATCGTCCGTCAAGCCACTAGGCACCACTAATCCCAGCCCGACAGTCCACCCGCACCCACCTCGGGCGCAGAGCACAACTGCTTAAGATCCGACGCGTCGATAGGGGTGCCCTTCGCCTTCTTCCTCTTCTTGGTGTGATCAATCACCAGGCCTCCGACAAATTTTCCATCCACAGCAGTTGCCTGGGTCTTGTCCTTCGGCATGGGCTCTGGGACACCGCCGTCTCCAGAAAACATCAACTCTGCAAACGACACTTCTGTGTCATCGATTCCTCCCGCATCTTTATCTCCTTTGTTGGCAGATTTCTTCTTCTTGGATTCCTTCTTGGCCTTTCCTTCGGTATCATCGAAAGAAGCCTTGTCATCCTTGCTTTTCGGTCTGCTGCTCTTGTCCTGCTCCGTGAATACCTTCTCCTTCTTCTTTTTCTTACTATCCGACAATGCGGATTTCACTGGGGCAGCAATGGTGGCAGCTGGAGGAGTATCTTTGGCAGCAGGTTCTTCAGGGCTCTGCACTTGTTGCTTTGACCGTTTCCTTTTCTCCTTCTTTTCCGTATTAGAATCGATGGGATCACGATCAGGCATCTCTTCATCCTTCTTCAGCTTACTCCCTTTCCCAGAGTTCTCATTCTGGGAAATGGCTTCTATGGGCTTTGCATTGAAAATGCGCAAGTTCGGCACAATTTTCATGACCTGAGAGAATACATATAAGTTACTCAAGAACGACAATTACAATACACTCTGGAATGAAGAGAAGTCACAGAGAGAGGTCACCTTTTTAGCTAGGGTGCCTTTCTCAGCAATAGGGTTTCCCTGCAAATTTAGGTTCCTCAAGTAGCGCAGTTCAGAAAGGACCTAGCAACCAAACCAATGGTTAAAACAATCTAAGCAAACCATGGTGTTGAACACGTGGGGACGAAATCAGATGCAAACCTTCAAATCTGACTCCCTCTCAATTAAGTTATTTCCCAAGTCAAGGTTCAAGATTTTGGTATTTTTGGCCAAGTCTGATGGAATTGTCTGCAAGTTACAGGTGCATAAGACCATGTTAACAAGAAACAATAGCAATTAATGCACAGGAGATGAATAAATAAAATTGCCCTTCATGTACACACAGTGATCTTATTGTGAGCAAGCCGAAGTTCCTTCAGTTCCACACATGCAGCAAGAGAAGATCCAATGCTTTCTATTTCACAGTGAGACATGGATATCTGGCGGAAGTTGTAACAATAAGACGATAGTCGAATACTGTTAGAAATGCTACATAACAGAGCCACCAAAGCATTTTTTTTTGCAGATTAAATAAATAAAGAATAAGTACCTTCTTTATAGACTTGGCATTGACCAAAGCATCACCAAAAGTAATAACTGGATTCTTAGAGAGAACTGTGGCAGAGCAAATATTCACAATTAACCAAGTTCAGGGAGACACTAAAGCATGAATCACAATTAACAAGTTCATGGATACAGAAAAGCATGAATGAATTGTACATAAATTCGTATTTAATTAATTTGAACTTTACTAAAGCAATATGAATTTCTTATACACATAAATTAGTTAGCATTTGCCATGCAACACTTCTTTGAGTTCCAACATGAACGCTACTCGCTACATGGAGTTATATACTGCATTTGACAAGGTTGGTATTTTGTACTTGCAGTTTATATAATAAAAGTTACTCTTGTTTACAACAGCCAGAATCGATTGATTCTTCATATTATTAGCAAGAACTGAGAAGTAAGATGACACCGTACAGGAAAAAAACATTGAAGGTATGCAGTCCTACAGTCCATTGTAATAAATAAGTGTTATATCAATATGCATACCAAGAGTATTCAACTGATGATGGGGATCAAGCTTGCAGATGGAAGTAATGTTGTTGTCTGCACAAACAATCACCAAGATCCAACATGAGTAAATCAAGTAAGCTAACAACAGGGAAAGATGAGCAGTTGAGAGTGTATAGCATTCATACACCACATACCGTTGAGAATCAAGGCTCCTAGGCTTGTCATCGATTTGACCTCATCGATTCTTGTCAATTTATTTTTGCCAGCATTTAGTACCTGCACAAGCAGGGATAAGAAAAACTCTCGAACATTATGGTTCATGAACTGGGCTAAAATTCTCCCCTAAAAAAGTAGCGAGCTAACATTCAATCCTGGATGGGTTCAATCAGATGGAAATGCAGGGCCAGGAAAGCTTCCCACCTGCAGCTTCGAGAGGACCTCGGCACCTTTCAAGCTGACAAGCTTGTTTTCAATAACCGAGAGCCACTTGAGATTGGTGCACGCGGACAAACCCTACAACATGTAAAAGAAATGACCGTAATAAGTCCCATGGAACAATAAGAAGATACACAGAGGCTCAAATGAACATAACAGCTAGTAGTGTTTAACAGTCCCATGGAACAGGCTGACCAGCTATCACCTATCATCATATTCCATAAGCCACAACCACTAGCTAAATCTCAATTTGAGCGCATCATCGAATTAGCTCTCTGTAGCATCATTTTACAGCTACAGTTGCTTCCCAGTTATCTACCATTGTTGGTCGCGACAATAAATTCAGACGAAAATGGTGGCAGCACGGATGCATTTCTTCCGACAGCAACTAGAACAAGTCGACAACGACGACATAGGACTTTCTGCGTATATCCAATCCAAAGGGGTGAAATGTCGGCAAGAATATATCTATCTATCTGTTTCTGTCGAGCAATCGCATCAAGGGCAGTAGTAAATCTTTGGAGCGCGTGGCATTTGAGATTGAGCGTGAGGAAGGATGTACCTCGAGCGTGACGAGGCAGTTGTGGCCGAGGTCGAGGCGCTCCAGGTTCTTGAAGCTCCCCAGGCACGACACCTATCCGGCAGCCACGCACAGCGACGACAGAGAGATAGATGAGCAAAGCCGGCGAGCCACCGTTAAACTGACTGAAGCAGCCGGGACCGAGGCGGCCGGCGGGAGGCAGGGAGGATGAGGGCCCACTTACGTCGGTGAAGGAGCGGTGGGAGAGGTCGAGGAACGTGGCGAGGCAGCCGGCGGGCGCCGCCTCCCTCGCCGTCTGCTCCAGCGTCAGCCGCACCATGGCTGGCCTCCCTCCTCTTCGCCTCTCCGCCGCCGCCGCTGTTCCAAAAGCCCAAGCAAGCAAACCCCTTCAGCCCCGAGATCTCTTGCCCTAGCGCCCCAACCAAAGCCCACCAAGGCTTTCGGGGCGGGCCCGTCCCACCAAATCCGGCCGGGCCCACCTGCCAGCGCGAGATGGTATCGGCAGGTCGCTCGGTCGGTCAGAGGAGTTATTGGAGTCGGAGAGGAGAGGAAAGCAGGAGGAGGCGACAGGTGCTCGCCCGCCCCACCGCCGGGAAGACTCGCTCCGCCGCCCGCCGCCCGCCGCCCGCCGGAGATGGCGATGACCGTGGAAGGTAAGGGATCTCTCTTCCTGCCCCCGACCCAGCTCCTATTCCCCGGGTGATCGGGCCGAGCTCGCATTCGGGCTGCTGCGGCGGGGGGATCGGGCGGCTAGGGTTCTTGCTGGGGGCATGGGGTCGCGAATTGACGGGCCAGGGTGCGGGGGGATCCGATTGGTTGGTGCGGGTTGGTCGGAGCGCCGTGCTGCGCCGGCCGGGCGGCTCTGCGTAGGTAGGTAGCGTGGGCGAGGCTGGCACGGGGACAAAAATCAGTGCACGGCCTGATTTTGCCCAGTCAGATCAGTGCGCTTTCCTTAGGGGAAACGGGGTCAGCTGTGCTGCCAGGGACCTAGGTTTGCGTGGAACAGGGGCCGTGATGCGTCCACATCGTTTGCATCTTATCGATGGGCTTATCCATTCTCATGAATTAGTACGGTCCAGTTTCAGCATTTATATTAGGTTCTTGCACTCTGAGCAGTTCTTGATAATATCAATCTTTCTTATATCTTGCAAATTGCTTCAAGTGTTTGACGACTAACTTGTGTGTTCCTCGTCTGCTTTGCTTTCGTCCTTGCTGCTGGATGCTGCTGTCAACTTACTCTTGGCGTGTGTCTTCACAGTGTAAGTTCATTATTCTGCTTTCTCTTAACCATTGTTTTGCATTTGACAAGTGTGCCGTCTTATTAAAAATTTCTCTTACAGGCTCGCTGGACTTGCGTGTATGTTCTCCACGAGCGTTCTTTTGCAAATCCTGGTAAGCTATGTACATTCATGCCTAAAGCTCACTGAATCAGGTTTCTGAAAGATGGTACAGTGGCAGCAATTGTTTTACTCACTGTCAGTTTCCAGTAACTTTGAGGACAACCTGACAGATTGGTTTCAAGTTTTGTTTCTACAATTCACTTATGCCCAGTATTCTATTGTGTGATTGTGCCAAAGAGGCAAGGAATGTGCGGAAGAGTAATATTGTGACATAGTTGCTGGTCACTTCAGGGTTACTCTTGTTATTCAGTTAGGAGTCCCACATGCTAGAAAAATCATCTTAGAGTTGATGCACACAAAGATTGGTCTGATTGTATCGACATGCACAACTACTGTAGTAATTATTTTATATGGAGGTTATCGAGCAGCATCAGATTGCTATCCCTTCATTATTTGACCAAGTTGTTACTTCCGAATTCAATGACTATTTATTTTCTTGGTGCAGGCATGTGCTTTGTACAACAACTGGTGGCCTATGTTAGCAGGTGACTGCTAGTTTGTTATCCTCCTCAATCACTGTGAGCAAGTTCCTGTGGCTTTTCCACTGACGTTCTTGTGCATGCTTTTTCTGTTCTGCAGCACTCATGTATATCATTGTGCCAATGCCATGCCTGTTCTTTGGCGACGGATCCACACGGTTCTTGAGTAGCGGAGAGGGTGGAGCGTAAGTTCTAAATTGATGATTCTCTTTCCTTTGGAGAAGTAGTAAACTGAACATGTATATCAGCACAGCAGACATGATAGGCATTAGGCAATCACAACTTAGGATGCTGATCCACACATTTGCTACCATAACAGTTATAATCAGACAGGGCATCTCATTTTTCAGCTGGATGAAAGCCGCAAAGTTCTTGACCGGCATGTCTGCCATGGGAAGCCTCGCCATCCCGGCGATCCTGAGGCACGCTGGCCTGATCGAGACGGGGGCCATGTTCATCGAGTTCACCTCCTTCTTCATCCTGGTGTGCACGGTTCTGTGCTTCCACAGGGCTACCCTGGACGAGGAGTGGTAAAGGCTCGCGCAAGGCCACAAGGAGTGCCCGAGAGAAGAACGCCTGTTAGGATGTGGAAAAGAAATCCCTTGGTGGGAGGGAGCTAACGTGGAACTGTGTACAAAGAAGCGTGCTTCAAGCGCTTGACTACTGTATTTATGTATACGCGTACCCGAGATTCGGTAATCTAGTTGGTAATCTGTGCTGAACCGGTCGTGTGAAGCATATATGATTCGGCGCAGTTGATTGACGCAAAGCAGTCTTTCTATGGTCGGTTTGACACTTGTGCATTCAGAATCTGCACTTGCAGTATGGTACAAACTATTGGATGGAATGAAGTGACAATATTTTGTTTAGATGGTTGCACCTGAAGCCAAATTTGCTCAGTTATGTGTGCCTCAATTCTTTGGTTGTTTTTGTGTGATCTTCAGAGAACATTTTTTGGTGCAATCTTTGGAGAACTTTTTATTGTTGTTTGTGTGTGATCTCTAGATAACATATTTTGGTTGTTTGTGGGTGGTCTATAGAGAACTTGATAGAAGCAACGGTCTCTTGGATCCGTTGCCAACTCCACAAAACCTAGAATATACTTTTCTACTGCTAAAATAAGAAGCGCAAGATCAATTATTCAGAGGTCTCTCGTTGTCCATCAGTCCATCTGTTCGTAGTTACTCTCATCATTTGGAAAGCTCCCTGACACCAGGAAATTGTGTACTGCTCCCTCCGTCCAAAAGTAAGTGTTGGAACACTTATTTTGGAATGGAGGGAGTGCTGCATATTTTTTTTTCTTTCGAAATGACAGATTCTCTGCCTTCATTAAGAAAAAAAGAGGGAGTACTACACATACATTATCACTACTCTGAGAACTTGCCTGTTAGCATATGAATCATGGATAGGCCGAAATATCTATATGCTGGGACTCTGGAAGCTAAGACTGGTTTTTCACCCGGAAAATGTGTATACGTAACTCTACGAGTTGTGGTTGCCAACAATATATTTGCTAATACAGAAAACTAAACATCAAGACAGTTTGGCCGAGTGGTCTAAGGCGCCAGATTTAGGCTCTGGTCCGAAAGGGCGTGGGTTCAAACCCCACAGCTGTCATACTTTTTTGTCTTGTTTTATTTTCAACGTTCTTTTTCTCCTCTTGTAAATCCATGAATCGTGTAAAAATGCACTAATCATTTCTAGATTAGATCATGGAAATTCTTCAAGCCATAACCTTCCCATTCTGCCCACTTCCTACACTTTCAACCATTTTCATTTTTTGTCTTGTTTTGTTTTATTTTCAACGTTCTTTTTCTCCTCTTGTAAATCCATGAATCGTGTAAAAATGCACTAATCATTTCTAGATTAGATCATGGAAATTCTTCAAGCCATAACCTTCCCATTCTGCCCACTTCCTACACTTTCAACCATTTTCATTTTTTGTCTTGTTTTGTTTTATTTTCAACGTTCTTTTTCTCCTCTTGTAAATCCATGAATCGTGTAAAAATGCACTAATCATTTCTAGATTAGATCATGGAAATTCTTCAAGCCATAACCTTCCCATTCTGCCCACTTCCTACACTTTCAACCATTTTCATTTGAATTTCCTTTTTAGAAGAAAAAATATATTCCTAGAAATTTTTCATATCCCCAAATGTTAAACTTTTATCACATTTAGTACTATCCTCTCTTCCTCCCCCCCACCTCCTATTATACCGCAGGGCCTCTGGTAGTCACTATAAAGGTATAGTCTTTCATGAGCGCAGGGCTCTAGCAATGTTTCGAGTCACTAAGAGATGCTTAAGGAAGATTTCGCTGGAGCATAGTCTGGGACCGTGACGATCGCTAGTCTAGGAGTAAGAG